ATCTTCTGTAAGTGATCATTAGTTCCAGTAATTGTCCAGAGGATAGTTTTAGTTCCAAAAGAAAATGTTGAGTTAATGCTAGGGAATAATTGTGGAAGTTAACAAAGCACTGGAAATAGGAAGTGTTCAAAAGTATCAGAAACAGATCTGTGTTTATTCAATATGTTATACTTGTTTCACTCTGCCCCAAATAACCACTCATTTGAATTTAAAGATTAATCTTTATAGTGTTCCAGTTATCTTCCCTCTTTATAAAACAAAAATAATTATTAGGGAGTTGACAACTTAAAAATTTTTATTCCTTTCCCTCCACAGGAACTTTTCATATCTTGGTAAGATTCATATGAATCATCAATAATAGTGCATTTGTATGGCAAAGTTTTATTATAAACAGCATATTAAGATATAAGGACAAATACTAAAAATTACCAAATTTTTCTTATAATCATTTTTTAAATTACAAAAGTAATATAACCACATTCTTATTAAAAAGCAAAAGTTCCTATTAAAAAACAAATCCACACTTTAACAGTCACCTCAAATGATTGCACATTAAAGTTTGAGAACCAAAGACTAAGATAATTTTTAGAGTCCTTGTCATGAAAATTACATGACATTACTTTTATAGGTAAGATATGAACAAGTTCTGGTAAGCTTTGCAAAATTACGTGTATGTATAATGGGCTTTAAATAGGGGCACTTTCTATTGGTTAATGACAAAGATCTGAGAATCTGTGATGTCAAAATCCAAAGCAGTATCAATTTTATTTTAAAAAGTTAAGCCAATATTTGGTTATCAGGTAGATATAAATGTACATAAGTTTGCTAAATATATTTAAGAATATTTAAGTTATAGGTAAGATGTTTTCATATATATACTAGTGAATAATTCTTGAGCTAATAATCTTTAAGAGAAGAGAAATGGGCTAGTAGTAGGATGACCAAAGGCAGGGTGTCACATGTTGTACTAGTTTCACCAATAATGGAATTAAATGTGACCTGCAGCTTAACCTTTGCATTTCTCTCAGAATGGGGTCAATGATAGTAACATTGCTCTTTTTGGCTACTTAATTTACATACCCATGGTTAGAGAAGATGTCAAAAAGTTTATACTTTAGCTCTTATGTTATTTGGTATGATCTATAAACACCTGGAATATCTAGATACTTTATTTTCTTTTCAATCCTTGGAAAACCTTTTGTAGGAGATGTTACCATTCCGTTTTATAAGTAGGAATATTAGATGCTGGGAGAGAGATTTAGTAGTTGATACCATGTGATCATGTTCTATTTATCACGCTGCTTTTCCAAAGCAAGTTGTGTTTTTAAAAATTAAATGTTGTTTAAGAATGAGATTATAGCAGCTTTTAATACTGCCAGCATAAGTTCTATAGAGGGGCTGTCAAAGAGTATTGGTTGAATTAATGAATGATAATCAATGGCCATGTATCAAGGCCAAGAGAGTCTTCCTATATTAGTTGAAAGTATCTTTCTCTATATGTATGTATTGAACTAATACTAAATGAAGCAGTAAATAATTGATGAATCCAAGATTGGACAAATTAGGATAAAGACAAAGTTTTTTTGGCCTATATTTTTTACACATGTGTAGACATAATTTTTAGTGAAATGCACAAATGAAATCATATAGATGAAGTACAGTTTCTTCTCTCTGTTCCTCCCTGTACAAATAAAACTGTCCACCATGACATTAACAACTTTGTATGTATTCCATGTTTTCTCCCTGCTCATAAAAATCATATACAAACTATACATATATACAAATAAAATTTATTTTTGACTATCATTCTATAGAAATGGATTATATTATACACATTTTAAAAATCTTTCATTCAATAAAATTTTAAAGAAATTCCACAAATTACTGTTAGAATCCTGATTTGCTGTATATGGGTATATAGTCTTCCATGCATCATAATTTATTAAACCATTTCTCTGTTGGTGGACATTTGCTTTGTTAACTGTTTTTGCTGCTCTGAAGTTTGCAGTAAATAACTTTATACAAATAGCTTTATATCCTGGTGTTTTTATTTCTGTAGGGTAGATCCTTAGAATGAAATTACTGGATCAAAAGATGTTACTTTTTTATTTAAATAGCTCTTGCCAGTGGTTTTTCCATAAAGGCTATAACAGTTCATATTTCCTCCAGCAATGTTATGAAATCCCTTTTCTTCATGCTTCAGTAGTGTTAATACCTTTTAAGCTTTTACAATTCTGATTGGTGTAAGTGGCATCTTATTTTGTTTTCCCATTTTAAAATTGTACATGTTGCCATATTATTTTTAACTATTTGTATTCTCTTCTGTAAATTGTCTATTCATATTTGCCCATTTGCCCATTGAGTAGTTTTTGGTTTTCCTGGCCAGTTGTAAAAACTATATGTATCTATCATCAGTATATGGGAAACTGGTGACTTGAAATAATCTTACTTCACTCCCACTCTCAACTCAACATATTTACCTCTTTTGAGCCAAGCAGCTGGATGCAAGGAAACCTCAGGTTCTATGGCAAACTCATAGAAGAAGGCTGCTGGAAAGCATAGGGCAAAGAGTAAGAAAGTGACCTATGGAAATACTTGGAACCCTTGACCTGACTTTCTGCCCCAGAGGAATGTTGGTATCATCTTGACTTCTAGGAATTAAAAAAGGAGCAGAATAGGCTGAGTCCTGCCTACTTTTGAGCAAACATTTCTTTCCAGTTCTTTGTCAGAGGTCTACCAGCAGCCTATTTGCTGAAAACACAGGTGTCATGGTAGGGAAGGGATCTACTACAACTCCAAGACTGCCAACACTGACCTTCAGTGAATAGATAGAAAAAATAGCTGCACATGTAAGGATCCAGCATAAGAAAGGAATATGAACTAAAACTGTCAGGACAGGCAACCAACAAAACACCTGCTGGAGGAAAGCAACAACTTGAACAAAATAATAGGAGCACAGCAAGATTGAAAGCATAGTATTAAAAAAAAAACTCGGGCGTCAAAAACCATTTTTAATCAACTACATCAACAGGTCAGATGGAGGAGAGCAGTAACACGGAGACAAATTAGTGGCTTGGAGAATCTAGTGGAAGAAATCTTTTAAATTTAGAGCAAAAATTCAAAGAGTAAAAACAGATTTTGAAGATTAAAAACAGGGAGACCTAATATGCATAAGAGGATCTCTAAGTGGAAAAGAACAGATGGGAGAGAGGCAATAACTTCAAAAGTTCTTGAGCTGAAAAGGACCCGAGTCTAGCTTCAAAGGGTTCTAGGCCAAATTTGTGGCAATAATAACAAATTACAGCAACTGCTCCCTCTGTCAGGCAATGTTCTGATGGCTTCACATTTATTTAACTCATTGGGTCCTTAACGGCCCTACAAAACAGGTACAATTATGCCCCTTATTCAGATGAGGGAAGAGGTTAAGTGGATAGAGAACCCAAAATGTCTGACTCCAGAGCCTTGAGTAAACTGCCTCAAAGAGCACAGACCCATATTTAGGCATATCCTGTTAAAATTTATGAACTCTGAGGATCAGGGGGAAATACTACAAGTTCCATAGAGAAAAAGCAAGTTATCAACAGAAGAAAAAGACTCATCAAAAGTTCTCAGCTGTACACTATTTACAATAGCCAAGAAATGGAAGCAACTTAAGTGTCCATCAGTAGATGAATGGATAAAGAAGATGTGGTACATACACACAATGGAATATTATTCAGCCATAAGAAGACAACAAATCCCACCATTTGCAACAACATGGATGGAGCTAGAGGGTATTATGCTCAGTGAAATAAGTCAAGTGGAGAAAGACAAATACCAAATGATTTCACTCATCTGTAGAGTATAAGAACAAAGGAAAAACTGAAGGAACAAAACAGCAGAATCACAGAACCCAAGAATGGACTAACAGTTACCAAAGGGAAAGAGACTGGGGAGAATGGGAGGGTAGGGAGGGATAAGGGCGGGGAAGAAGAAGGGGTATTATGATTAGCATGTATAATGTGGGGGGTGGGGGAAAGGGGAGGGCTGTACAACACAGAGAAGACAAGTGGTGATTCTACAACATCTTACTATGCTGATGGACAGTGACTGTAATGGGGTTTATAGGGGAGAGCCTAGTAAACAATGTTCTTGTAAAAAAAATAATAAATTAAAAAAAAAGTTCTCAGCTGTAGGATCGTAAGCCAGAAAATGGGGGAAATTAAAGATTTCTTTAACTAATCAAATTCACCTGTCAGGGTGAAACAACGATTTGCTGATACATCACAATTGAGCAACTAATTCCACCTACCATCTGATGAAAACACTCAAAGAAAAGAAAGGGAAATCTAATAATACTTAACCTTGGTCTTTGCACATACTATTCCTCTTGCTTGGAATAACTTCCCTCTTCACCATGTAACACCTTTAACATCTTAACTTTTTCCAAGAAGTCTTCATATTTCTCCAAGTCTGGGTTTTTTGCTCATCCTAAATGATCCCATAGCACCCTGTCTTTTCCCCATCTTACTGTAAGTCTGCATAAGGACATGGGAAGACTGCACTGTCGTAGCCCTGGTGCCTAGCACAGTGCCTGAAAGATTGGAGGCTGACTTGAGTGATTAAAATTTATATGCAGTCAAAATCAGCAAATCTTTTTTTGTTGCCCTATTCAGATTGCTCTAGTAGTAGCTATCAGGGAAAGAAAGCTTTAAGTAAAGTTTGTCTTCAATAGATGTCCTAATCAAGTATGCCACGTATATATATACTTCCGTATTTGTCTTGTGACTAACACAATTTTACATTCACAAAGTTCCAGTATAACTATGAAAATCTATCCATGTAGAATCAATTTACATAAGGCATATTTACAATGCATATTACCCATGTTGGGTTCAAACTTCTATTTGTTGTTTGTGAGAGCAGAAGCAGTAGGAAAGTTTGCCCGATCAGTTAAAGAACTCAGTGTTTTAATACTCTAAAAAGAGTGATATTAATCCTGTATTTTTGTTTCTCTTCAGATTAAAGCTAAAAATTATGACAAGGTTGAAAAGGTGAGTTCTCCTAAGCATACTTTGAATATTATGCTGAAGTTTAATTTAGGACTTACCATAGATAAGGCAAACAGTAAAATGTTAACAAAATTGTTGAGTCTAGGTAGTGATTATATAGGAGTTCATTGTACTTGTTCAACTTTTTGTGTGCTTGAAAATGTTCATAATCAAAATTTTGAAAAAAAAATTTATACTGTACTGACCAAAATCATGAGAATGATTTTGATTAAACTGAAAATAGGAATTGGTGGAGGGGTACCTGAGGGGCACAAAAATCTCAATCATAATGTAAGTTGGTCAGAATATAGTCAGTGGTTCTGTAACATCTTCCTATGTTGACAGTAGTAACTGCACTAGTTGTGGTGAGGATTAAATGATATGGGTAACTGTTGAGCCACTGTGTTGTATACTTGAAACCAATATAATATTACATATCAACTATACTTCAATTAAAAAATACACTTAAAAATAAACTGAAAGCAATATTTCTTATTTGACATTTATTTGTAAGATAAATTTATGAAAGCTGAATTTTTTTAAATGTTCCATTTCACCCATGTATATGTGAAATTAACTGGATTCTGATAATATTTTCTTGTATTTACAGCTATTTCAGAGATGCCTTATGAAGGTTTTGCACATTGATTTATGGAAGTGTTATCTTTCATATGTCCGAGAAACCAAGGGTAAACTACCAAGTTACAAGTAAGTTCAATCAGGATTTTAAGAATCCAGATAATCTCCAGGCACACAGTCAATCCCACATAAATTCACACCTTCTCTTAATTCCAGAAAAGAAGAGACTTAAGAATTTGAGAAGTCATGGTTCTCTGAGAAGAAAAAGTGCTTCAAAGAAAGCCACTGACATTAGTCTTATTCTGGAAAATTGACTCATTCATGCCCTTCTTCTATATTGAAACACACTGTACATTTGCAACACCAAATCACTTTGTTTACAGGCTTGTTGTCAGAACTAATAACAAGCATTTTATTAGTTGTCATGCCATCATTCTTGTGAGGTTATGATGCATTGACCTACTTAAGTACTCCAAGGCATCTTTGGCTGTTCTATTGTTGTGTATGATCTCCCCATATGACTTATATCCACATACCTATCTTCAATGAATCTAAATGAAGGATCTTCTCAAATGCTACTTATATACTGAACAGGCCATTATTTCTGTAACTAGAATTCTATATTTTCTTTTCCTCATTATCCTTTATTGTCTTACATTGAAGAGGAAGTTCTTTCTCCCTAAATTTTACTTCAGAGCTAGTAGATCTTCAGATATAACTTGCCTCTTAATTAGAGAACTAGATATTTCCACATTTTAATGTGCTACATGGAAATTTGGCAGTTATATAGAGATAAGTGAAACATGGACCTTATCTTTGATAAGATCACAATGGAAACAAGGCATATAAATTTAATAACAAGCTAAACAATGCAACTATATACTTGCAAAGATGTCTGTATTTCTGTTTATACAAAAATGTTTCAGTTGGATATTTTAATAACATGTACAATTTTTTTTAAAACATCCTTCACATTTATTTCAGAGAAAAAATGGCTCAAGCATATGACTTTGCACTGGATAAAATTGGAATGGAAATTATGTCTTATCAGGTAGAGTTAACATTTTTTTAATATACAGTATATAACAAATTTGAAATAAATATCAAGAAAGATACCAATATTTTATTTTATTTCTTAGATTTGGGTGGATTACATCAATTTCTTAAAAGGCGTGTAAGTATTTTTATAGTTTAGCTTGTTTTGTGTGAACAGTTGATATAGTTGTAGTGTAATTGATGGCATTTCTTATCCAATACCAGAGAAGCTGTTGGATCTTATGCAGAAAATCAGAGAATAACAGCTGTCCGAAGAGTTTATCAGCGAGGTTGCGTTAATCCAATGATCAACATTGAACAGCTCTGGAGAGACTATAACAAATATGAAGAGGTAAATAAGGCCAGACTAGTTTATTATTATAATCCAGCCATTTTAATCTGTATGCATTGTGGTCTGGTTTCTAGCCTTTCTAGTATCAGGTACCTGGATATCAGTGCTGCACATGTCTGTTTTCATATTGATTGTAATACAAGAACGACTCCTAATGTTTTTGCAAGGTTTTGAGTCTCAGTACCTATTTACTTTTTAGAGAATACTCTGGGAGAATTATAATTCCTACAGAACCATTTTTATTGACTGCTAAACCATATTCACACAATCATAGCACACACATCGCCCTTGATCTCTTATGAAACGGTACCTTTTTAGTTGTTTTTTCTTATTAAGGTATTATTGATATACACTCTTATGAAGGTTTCACATGAAAAAACAATGTGGTTATTACATTCACCCATATTATCATGTCACCCCCCATATGCCACTGCAGTCACTGTCCATCAGTGTAGTAAGATGCCACAGAGTCACTATTTCCCTTCTCTGTGCTACACTGTCTTCCCCATGATCCCCCCCCACACCATGTGTGCCAATCATCCCCCCTTCTCCCTCCCTGCCCACCTGCCCCCACCAACCCTCCCCTTTGGTAACTGCTAGTCCCTTCTTGGAGTCTGTGAGTCTGCTGCTGTTTTGTTCCTTCAGTTTTGCTTCATTGTTATTCTCCACAAATGAGGGAAATCATTTGGTACTTGTCTTTCTCTGCCTGGCTTATTTCACTGAGCATAATATCCTCCAGCTCCATCCATGTTGTTGCAAATGGTAGAATTTGTTTCTTTCTTATGGCTGAATAGTATTCCATTGTGTATATGACCACATCTTTTTTATCCATTCATTTACTGATGGACAATTAGGTTGCTTCCATATTTTGGCTATTGGGAATAGTTTTGCAGTAAACATAGGGGTGCATATGTCTTTTGAATCTGAGAAATTATATTCTTTGGGTTAATTCCTAGGAGTGGAATTCCCAAGTCAAATGGTATTTCTATTTTTAGTTTTTTGAGGAACCTCCTATTGTTTTCCACAATGGTTGAATTAGCTTACATTCCCACCAGCAGTGTAGGAGGGTTCCCCTTTCTCTGCATCCTCACCAACATTTGTTTTTCTTAGTCTTTTCGATACTGGCCATCCTAACTGGTGTGAAGTGATATCTCTTTGTGGTTTTTATTTGCATTTCCCTGATAGTGATGTGGAGCATCTTTTCAATTGCGTATTGGCCATCTGAATTTCTTCTTTGGAGAATTGTCTGTTCAAATCCTCCGTCCATTTTTTAAATAGGGTTATTTGCTTTTTGGGTGGTGAGGCATGTGAGTTCTTTATACATTTTGGATGTTAACCCCCTCCCCTTGTCGGATATGTTATTTACAAATATATTCTCCCATACTGTAGGATGCCTTTTTGTTCTCTTGATGGTGTCCTTTGCTGTACAGAAGCTTTTTAGTTTGATGTAATGCAATGTGTTTATTTTTGCTTCTGTTTCTCTTGCTCAAGGAGATGTATTCAGGAAGAAGTTGCTCATGTTTATATTCAGGAGATTTTTGCCTATGTCGTCTTCTAAGAGTTTTGTGGTTTCATGACTTAAATTCAGGTCTTTGGTCCATTTCGAATTTACTTTTGTGTATGGGGATAGACAATAATCCAGTTTCATTCTCTTGCATGTAGCTGTCCAGTTTGCCAGCACCAGTTGTTGAAGAGGCTGTCGTTTCCCCATTGTATATCCATGGCTCCTTTATTGTATATTAATTGACCATATATATGCTTGGGTTTACTGGGCTCTCTAGTCTGTTCCATTGGTCTATGGGTCTGTTCTTAGCCAGTACCAAATTGTCTTGATTACTGTGGCTTTGTAGTAGAGCTTGAAGTTAGGGAGCATAATCCCCCCAGCTTTATTCTTCCTTCTCAGGATTGCTTTGGCTATTCGGGGTCTTTTGTGGTTCCATATGAATTTTAGAACTATTTGCTGTAGTTCATTGAAGGATGCTGTTGATATTTTGATAGGGATTGCATTGAATCTGTAGATTGCTTTAGGCACAATGGCCATTTTGACAATATTAATTCTTCCTATCCATGGGCTTAGGATGTGTTTCCATTTATCGGTGTCTTCTCTAATTTCTCTCACAAGTGTCTTGTAGTTTTCAGGGTATAGGTCTCTGACTTCCTTTGTTAGGTTTATTCCTAGGTATTTTATTCTTTTTATTGCAATTGTGAAACGGTACCTTTTTAGAATAGTTTTACTAGTACGAATATCATTTGCAATGTACCTCTTTCACATAGTTACAGTGATGTGATTATTGGCTTACATTTCTGAGATACAGGGCTACAGTCCATGTTCTTTGTTCCATTGGCATATTTTTTAACCAGTTGAGCTTATAAGCCTATATATGTAAACATACATGTCAAATAAGCTCTGTCATTAAAAGAAAGTTTCTAGTAGTATCCACTGGGTTTTGAAGAACTACATAAGGTATGGAAACTCTCCTTTCATAGGTATAAAAAGTGGTTGTCAAACTTCCTGGTGTTGGCATTTTAAAAATTATTGAAGACTACAAAGAACTTTTAATTTTAATGTGGCTTTTATCTATCAATATTTAGCATATTACAGTTAAAACCGAGAAAATTTCAAGGTATTTATTTATTCATTTAAAGTTTACAATAATGAACTCCATGTATTTTAACATAAATAGCATTAAAACAAACTTTTTTTCAAAATAAGAAAAACTTTAGAAGAGCAGATGTTATTTATTTTTGCAAATTTCTTTGATATCTAACTTAACAGAAGACTAGATTTTCATATCTGCTTCCAAATTCAATCTGTTGTGATATTGAATGTCATGTAATCTCTGAAAATCTATATGTTTATGAAAGAGGCAAATAATGTCTTAGCATTGTATGAAACTTGTTTTGGTCTCATGGGCCCCTGAAAGAGTCTTGGGGACCAGGAATCCTTGGACTACTCTTTGAGAACGCTAGGTATGAGTGATAATGTTCATAGCTCCTTGCTACCTCTGTATTTATTTTAAACTTATGCAGAACTAGTTAGAAAAGTTCTTTCAGAGCTAAAGTACGGCTGTTTTCTCAGATGAATCTATATATCACTCTTAATTAGAACTTTATATGAAATAATTGACCCTTTTCAAATCATTTATCTTTAGAAATACCTAATATTTAGAAACATACTGTCAGCTCATAACAGATATTAACAGATCCTCCCTTGATCTCTGAAGCATAGAATGTAATTGAGCCTTTATTTTACTAATCAAAAACATTAAAAAAAATAATTTAAAATACTTAGTGAATAAATTAACTGTATTGTGCTAATATTAAAATATATTTAATTTTCAAATATGTTTCTTTTTTTCTTAGGGTATCAATATTCATTTAGCTAAAAAAATGATTGAAGATCGGAGCAGAGATTACATGAATGCTAGGCGTGTAGCAAAGGTATGGAATTCCAATAGGCCACTTATTTTTTATCATTTTTATGAGTTTGTTTACAGAAGAACTTTCCCTGTCTGTATTACTCTTGATTTTTCGATCATTAGCAATCTTAACTAGTAACAATTAATTGCATTGTCTTAGCAGATGATAAATGAAATGAAATACCTCTTTATGGTACAAAATAAAATAAATGGAGTTTGGAAGAAATTATTTTTTTAAATACAGAAACAGGTCATAGAGACAAGGTTCTATCTAGAATTGATGAAGTGGTTCCCGTCCTTTCCTCCAATCTGCTTGTATATATTTGAGTACTATACTACTCTCTGGTCTAGGAACAGCTTTCAGGGATAGTTATGTCTTGTGTACATACCTTCCCATTCATTGAGACTGTTAGAAGTTAGGGAAAATAACTTAGTAATATTAACTACTGAAATTTAAAAAGACAGTTTCTCTAAAGATGGCAGTGATAGTGCCACCAGATCATCAGTCATATTGGTCTGTCAAGGCCTCTGTCCTGGAGAGTGACCTCCTGGATCATGTGCAGAGAGGACCTAAGGGTGTTCTGTTTACCCATTCCTGGGAACCTGTTCTTGAATAGGAAATCGTCTGTTATCTTTCTTCCTGCTCTTAAAATAGTTTTTAGATTATATTAGCAAAGTGGTGTTTGGAAATAATGGCATTTTGAACACAGGTTAAAAAAAAAATCAACTCCATTCCACATGTCTGAGTTGTTCCTAGGCTCACCACAGAATTCTATATGCTTGTTGTCTAGGAGTATGAGACAGTAATGAAGGGTTTGGACCGCAACGCTCCATCAGTGCCTCCTCAGAATACTCCTCAGGAAGCTCAGCAGGTGGATATGTGGAAGAAGTACATACAGTGGGAAAAGAGCAACCCTCTTCGTACAGAAGATCAGACCCTTATAACAAAAAGAGGTAACAGCATTAACCCTCCTAGGACTCCAGTTAGATATGTTAAGCTCCTGAAATTATCCTATGGCTTACTGAGGCTGTTTTTTTTTTTTTTAATTTTTAATTTTGGTATCATTAATCTACAGTTACAGAAAGAACATTATGTTTACTAGGTTCCCCCCTTCACCAAGTCCCCCCCCCCACATACCCCTTCGCAGTCACTGTCCATCTGTATAGTAAGATGCTGTAAAATCACTACTTGTCTTCTCTGTGTTGCACAGCCCTCCCTGTGTTCCCCACGTACTATACATGCTAATTGTAATGCCCTCTTTCTTTTTCCCTGCCCTTATCCCTTCCTTCCCACCCATCGTCCCCAGTCCCTTTCCCTTTGGTAACTATTAGTCCATTCTTCGGTTCCATGATTCTGCTGCTGTTTTGTTCCTTCAGTTTTCCTTTGTTCTTATACTCCACATATGAGTGAAATCATTTGGTACTTGTCTTTCTCCGCCTGGCTTATTTCACTGAGCATAATACCCTCTAGCTCCATCCATGTTGTTGCGAATGGTAGGATCTGTTTTTTTCTTATGGCCGAGTAATATTCCATTGTGTATATACTGAGGCTGTTTTTAGCCCCTGCCTTTTTTTCTCTTATGTTCTTCAGATTTAGTAATTTCTATAGCTCTATCTCCATGTTCTGACCTTTGTTTTATCATGTGCTGTCTGCTGTTAAACCCATCTAGTGAATTCTTCATTTCAGATATTAAATACTTCTTGGTTCTATAAATTTCCTCTAGAAAATTTTGTATTTTTTTATAGTGTCCATTTCTCTCTTGAGAGTCCATATCCATTGCCATCTTTTTCTTTATGTCCTTGAACATATTTATAACAGTAGTGGTAAAGTCTTCACTTGCTGATTCCCACATTTGGGCTTCCTTTTCTCTTGTCTATGCATCACATGTTCCTGTTTTGTCACAAGTCTAGATATTTCTTTTGGACATTGGACCAAAGTACAGTGGTACAGTGTAAAGACTGGATTCTGTTATCATCCTCTGAAGAATCTGAGTTTTATTTTAACAAGGAGTTAAATTACTGGTAGATCATTGGGACCTTGTGGAGGCTTGGTTTGACATTGTTTGGATGGGTCTGTTTTAGAGTTGCCCTTAATCTTGGTTAATCTTTTAGTCCTGACACAGTCTTTACTCTTAAGGCATAATGGAAAGCTCAAGTGGTTTATCCAGACCCTCTAACTTGGTATGATTCAATTCCAAACGTGGTCTCCATTACAGTGGGGAGCTGCTGAGATATCTTTTCAGTTCTTTCATCCTTCCGACTTTGTTTTCCGTTTGGGCTCTTTGTATTCTTTACTGTGTATGTATATTTTCAAGGTCAGCTAGAGATTTGAGGGCCTTTATGCTCAGATTTTCAGGTTCCACTCTCTGTGGCTCTCTCTTTTGGGTATATTCTCCCTTAGTTTCTAGCTGCTGCTCTTATACTCCAGAACTCTGTTAACTTACCTCAAGCCAGCAAGACTTAAGCATTTGACTGGAGTTCTAGCTATTCCATAACTGTATACACAGGGGTGTGCCCTTCAGGAGGAAATCCATGTTAAATATGGATCTCACCTAGTGTGGTTCCAATTTATTAAGGGCTGTTTTCTCTGGTTTCTGTTTCTTTTGGCCATTCATCAGACCTTTAAATTTGCTTTTTGTATTTTTTCAGCTTATGATTTTTATTTTCAGGTAAGTTAGTCTGATACAAACAACTCTACTACTGCCAGAACTAGAATTTGGTACTTTAAAAAAATTCCTCAATCTTTCTTTGCTCTCTAACCTATGGGCCTTTGCAAATATGGTTTCCATTACCTAAAACATTTTCATATCTACCTCCGTCCTTCCTATGCTCCACTTACTCTCTCCTCTGCCCAGCTTCTCTCAATTCTTCAGGTTTTGCTTTAGATGTCAATCCTTAGTGAAGCCTTTCTTGAGGTGCTTATGTCAAGTCCTGCTTAATATCAATCTTCCATTTAAAGTTTACAATAATGAACTCCATGTATTTTAACATAAATAGCATTAAAACAAACTTTTTTTCAAAATAAGAAAAACTTTAGAAGAGCAGATGTTATTTATTTTTGCAAATTTCTTTGATATCTAACTTAACAGAAGACTAGATTTTCATATCTGCTTCCAAATTCAATCTGTTGTGATATTGAATGTCATGTAATCTCTGAAAATCTATATGTTTATGAAAGAGGCAAATAATGTCTTAGCATTGTATGAAACTTGTTTTGGTCTCATGGGCCCCTGAAAGAGTCTTGGGGACCAGGAATCCTTGGACTACTCTTTGAGAACGCTAGGTATGAGTGATAATGTTCATAGCTCCTTGCTACCTCTGTATTTATTTTAAACTTATGCAGAACTAGTTAGAAAAGTTCTTTCAGAGCTAAAGTACGGCTGTTTTCTCAGATGAATCTATATATCACTCTTAATTAGAACTTTATATGAAATAATTGACCCTTTTCAAATCATTTATCTTTAGAAATACCTAATATTTAGAAACATACTGTCAGCTCATAACAGATATTAACAGATCCTCCCTTGATCTCTGAAGCATAGAATGTAATTGAGCCTTTATTTTACTAATCAAAAACATTAAAAAAAATAATTTAAAATACTTAGTGAATAAATTAACTGTATTGTGCTAATATTAAAATATATTTAATTTTCAAATATGTTTCTTTTTTTCTTAGGGTATCAATATTCATTTAGCTAAAAAAATGATTGAAGATCGGAGCAGAGATTACATGAATGCTAGGCGTGTAGCAAAGGTATGGAATTCCAATAGGCCACTTATTTTTTATCATTTTTATGAGTTTGTTTACAGAAGAACTTTCCCTGTCTGTATTACTCTTGATTTTTCGATCATTAGCAATCTTAACTAGTAACAATTAATTGCATTGTCTTAGCAGATGATAAATGAAATGAAATACCTCTTTATGGTACAAAATAAAATAAATGGAGTTTGGAAGAAATTATTTTTTTAAATACAGAAACAGGTCATAGAGACAAGGTTCTATCTAGAATTGATGAAGTGGTTCCCGTCCTTTCCTCCAATCTGCTTGTACATATTTGAGTACTATACTACTCTCTGGTCTAGGAACAGCTTTCAGGGATAGTTATGTCTTGTGTACATACCTTCCCATTCATTGAGACTGTTAGAAGTTAGGGAAAATAACTTAGTAATATTAACTACTGAAATTTAAAAAGACAGTTTCTCTAAAGATGGCAGTGATAGTGCCACCAGATCATCAGTCATATTGGTCTGTCAAGGCCTCTGTCCTGGAGAGTGACCTCCTGGATCATGTGCAGAGAGGACCTAAGGGTGTTCTGTTTACCCATTCCTGGGAACCTGTTCTTGAATAGGAAATCGTCTGTTATCTTTCTTCCTGCTCTTAAAATAGTTTTTAGATTATATTAGCAAAGTGGTGTTTGGAAATAATGGCATTTTGAACACAGGTTAAAAAAAAAATCAACTCCATTCCACATGTCTGAGTTGTTCCTAGGCTCACCACAGAATTCTATATGCTTGTTGTCTAGGAGTATGAGACAGTAATGAAGGGTTTGGACCGCAACGCTCCATCAGTGCCTCCTCAGAATACTCCTCAGGAAGCTCAGCAGGTGGATATGTGGAAGAAGTACATACAGTGGGAAAAGAGCAACCCTCTTCGTACAGAAGATCAGACCCTTATAACAAAAAGAGGTAACAGCATTAACCCTCCTAGGACTCCAGTTAGATATGTTAAGCTCCTGAAATTATCCTATGGCTTACTGAGGCTGTTTTTTTTTTTTTTAATTTTTAATTTTGGTATCATTAATCTACAGTTACAGAAAGAACATTATGTTTACTAGGTTCCCCCCTTCACCAAGTCCCCCCCCCCACATACCCCTTCGCAGTCACTGTCCATCTGTATAGTAAGATGCTGTAAAATCACTACTTGTCTTCTCTGTGTTGCACAGCCCTCCCTGTGTTCCCCACGTACTATACATGCTAATTGTAATGCCCTCTTTCTTTTTCCCTGCCCTTATCCCTTCCTTCCCACCCATCGTCCCCAGTCCCTTTCCCTTTGGTAACTATTAGTCCATTCTTCGGTTCCATGATTCTGCTGCTGTTTTGTTCCTTCAGTTTTCCTTTGTTCTTATACTCCACATATGAGTGAAATCATTTGGTACTTGTCTTTCTCCGCCTGGCTTATTTCACTGAGCATAATACCCTCTAGCTCCATCCATGTTGTTGCGAATGGTAGGATCTGTTTTTTTCTTATGGCCGAGTAATATTCCATTGTGTATATACTGAGGCTGTTTTTAGCCCCTGCCTTTTTTTCTCTTATGTTCTTCAGATTTAGTAATTTCTATAGCTCTATCTCCATGTTCTGACCTTTGTTTTATCATGTGCTGTCTGCTGTTAAACCCATCTAGTGAATTCTTCATTTCAGATATTAAATACTTCTTGGTTCTATAAATTTCCTCTAGAAAATTTTGTATTTTTTTATAGTTTCCATTTCTCTCTTGAGAGTCCATATCCATTGCCATCTTTTTCTTTATGTCCTTGAACATATTTATAACAGTAGTGGTAAAGTCTTCACTTGCTGATTCCCACATTTGGGCTTCCTTTTCTCTTGTCTATGCATCACATGTTCCTGTTTTGTCACAAGTCTAGATATTTCTTTTGGACATTGGACCAAAGTACAGTGGTACAGTGTAAAGACTGGATTCTGTTATCATCCTCTGAAGAATCTGAGTTTTATTTTAACAAGGAGTTAAATTACTGGTAGATCATTGGGACCTTGTGGAGGCTTGGTTTGACATTGTTTGGATGGGTCTGTTTTAGAGTTGCCCTTAATCTTGGTTAATCTTTTAGTCCTGACACAGTCTTTACTCTTAAGGCATAATGGAAAGCTCAAGTGGTTTATCCAGACCCTCTAACTTGGTATGATTCAATTCCAAACGTGGTCTCCATTACAGTGGGGAGCTGCTGAGATATCTTTTCAGTTCTTTCATCCTTCCGACTTTGTTTTCCGTTTGGGCTCTTTGTATTCTTTACTGTGTATGTATATTTTCAAGGTCAGCTAGAGATTTGAGGGCCTTTATGCTCAGATTTTCAGGTTCCACTCTCTGTGGCTCTCTCTTTTGGGTATATTCTCCCTTAGTTTCTAGCTGCTGCTCTTATACTCCAGAACTCTGTTAACTTACCTCAAGCCAGCAAGACTTAAGCATTTGACTGGAGTTCTAGCTATTCCATAACTGTATACACAGGGGTGTGCCCTTCAGGAGGAAATCCATGTTAAATATGGATCTCACCTAGTGTGGTTCCAATTTATTAAGGGCTGTTTTCTCTGGTTTCTGTTTCTTTTGGCCATTCATCAGACCTTTAAATTTGCTTTTTGTATTTTTTCAGCTTATGATTTTTATTTTCAGGTAAGTTAGTCTGATACAAACAACTCTACTACTGCCAGAACTAGAATTTGGTACTTTAAAAAAATTCCTCAATCTTTCTTTGCTCTCTAACCTATGGGCCTTTGCAAATATGGTTTCCATTACCTAAAACATTTTCGTATCTACCTCCGTCCTTCCTATGCTCCACTTACTCTCTCCTCTGCCCAGCTTCTCTCAATTCTTCAGGTTTTGCTTTAGATGTCAATCCTTAGTGAAGCCTTTCTTGAGGTGCTTATGTCAAGTCCTGCTTAATATCAATCTTCCCAATATACTGCAGACATCTTGAGTGTAGGAAGTCTTATTTGGTTATGTATTCACAGTGACTTTCACATTCCCTGCACGTAGTTTGATGCTCAATAAACATTTAATAAATGATGAATTGTGGGGTTTGGGTAGATGATGGTACCAGATATCACTAAAGCTTTTTATTTTTAATTATCTTTAATTATTGAGGGCCCTTTCTTAGCCTAATAATTTACCTGTAATGCTTGTATTGACAGCTTTATAAGTAATACCTATTTTAATACAATGTTGTGAATGTCTTCCCTTAGTTATGTTTGCCTATGAACAGTGCCTACTTGTGCTGGGCCATCACCCTGATATTTGGTATGAAGCTGCCCAATATCTTGAGCAGTCAAGTAAACTGCTAGCAGAGAAGGGGGTACGTATTCCTTTTTCCATCGTCTTGGTGTTTTCATGGCCTTGATATAGCAATAATTTGTTAATTTTGGTAATAAAGTGTAATTGTTGAAATTTTACACTTATTTCAGTATGGACTTTAGTGACCTTCTTAAATGATTTTGACTACCTTAGAATTAAAATATAGTGGCTGATAATGTATTAAAGTGAGAAATCATTTAGAATACTTACTTGTATGATTCTTCTGTATGTTCAAATAATGGAAGGAGTCTTTGGAATATTTTTAGGATCCAGAAACACATATGTGTCCATATGTATATACATGAGTGCATATTTGATTCTCTTTTAGCTATTTAAAATGGTTGAGAGTGAGCTTTCTTTTCCCCCTCTCCTAGGATATGAATAATGCCAAATTATTTAGTGATGAAGCTGCTAATATATATGAAAGAGCTATAAGCACTTTATTAAAGAAGAATATGCTTCTTTATTTTGCATATGCAGATTATGAAGAGGTAAGTAAGAATATTTAGAACTTTCTTATAATTGGAGCTTTTACTACAGCACAGAATTTTTGTTCTGGCTGTTTCTTTGCCAGCCAATTGCTTTTGGTAGAAAGAGATGATGTAAAATGAAGTTATTAGTCTTCAGCTCAATATATATTTATGCTCAAAGCCGGTACCATTGTGGGCTACAGTGTCTGGATTCCTCAGAGCTCAAATCCTGTTTGTTTATGAATGTATATTTATATTCACTTCTTCTGTATCACCTTAGAGTCGCATGAAGTATGAGAAGGTTCACAGTATATATAACAGACTTCTGGCAATTGAGGATATTGACCCCACCTTGGTGAGTAGCTACAAATCTATTTCCTCTGCTTTAACAACAATAATTTAATATACATATAATAAAATTCACTGTATTTTTGTATAGTTCTGTGAATCTTGACCAATAACACTGAATCATGAGGCTACCATCACAAGATACAGAACACTTTGGTCACGTCCCAAAAATTCCCATATGATCTCTTTATCAACACTTCTCTCTTTCCCAGCTCCTGCCAATTACTGATCTGTTCTCTGCTTACATTTTTTTTGTTTGTTTGTTTAATGCAGCAATATGAAACAGCTATAGTGGGGCTTTCTCTAATGTTCATGGTTTGAAGCCATTTGTTTATGCCACAAAATTGTTGCTTAATAAATGTTTCTTTTTTAATAAATGAAGGCAGGAGAAACCACCATTCAGGGAAGGGATTGGACAGGAACAACACTTTATCCTGAATTCTGCTCTGTGATAGTGTTTTTCAAAGCTCCAAGTTTCTGCAAAAGGACAATGGAACACTTTCAGTGGGAGGGGAAGGGGACAGGCCAATGTGTGGGGCTCTGTTGCCTCATATCAGCTATAGCTACGTTGTTTATACTGCTTTGATTGTTTGCATTTATTCATCATTTTGAAATTTATTTAGCAAACCACTCTATGATATGCACTATGCTAGATTCCAGCAGTATAATGACAAATTAGATAAAATTCCTTTCCTGAAGGAACTCATAGTTCATCCATCCATCCATCCATCTGTCAAAACTGGGCAAATCAACATGCTACTCATAGTCACCTTACTTATAGTCCAGAGATATTTTTGTTCATTGAACAAATATTGCATGCTCATCATGTATTGGACACTCTGTAGGTGCTGAGTATAAAATGGCTTATATATAGTTTATCAATAAAGTTGTATTTTATGGTCATTGGAAAATAAAGTAGTGGAGTTTTAAAGCAATAAAGCAAGAAATATGAAGTTAAACAGGTATTGTTAAACATGCTTGTATTAGATGAAACCTTGAGGTTTCTAGTGAAGTACCTTTTATTAGTTTCACTTTTTTCCCCTCCTTAAAATTTAATTTGCATATTCTGGAATTAGTGGTGATGTTGCACAACCAAGTGATACACTAAAAATCATCAAATTATATACTTTTCAAGGGCAAATTTTGTATGTAGTATGTGAATTATATCTCAATTTTTAAAAATTAACTTGAATGCATCTTTAATACCAGAAAAAATTTGCTTGTGGATTTAAATAGTGCAACATCTATAATCTTATTTTGTGATTTATTGGGCATTCACAATTGCTTTATTATATAGGAAACATTAGTACACATTAAGGTGAGCCAGTGTTGGATGCTACAGGGATCACATTCTGCCTAAACTGTAAAGAAGAAATACTTTTCTTTTTGTATAGGTATATATCCAGTATATGAAATTTGCAAGGAGAGCAGAAGGTATCAAATCTGGAAGAATGATATTTAAAAAAGCTAGAGAAGATACCAGAACCCGCCACCATGTCTATGTTACTGCAGCACTCATGGAGTATTACTGTAGTAAGGTAAGTACTAAAATAAAATGTAATGGTAAAATAATTTCCTTCATCTGTGATGCATTAATTGAAAGAAAAGTAGTTCTAGTTTCCATCATTAAGCTTTAATTGCTCCATGTCATTAAGGAATTTTAAGTATCTGTAAAATTACATAGAGCATCATCATCCAATCCCCATTACCTGCTAATTTATGCCTTACTAAACTCCATGTTTCTGAATCTGAAACCTCTTGAATAGCTTTAGCTCAGCAAATTCTGCTTAAAATGATTTAAGTTTCCATTTTAATTCCTAATGTATTGTGTCTGATTTAGATGTTATAGATTTAATATTCGTTTCAGTATCTTGTCTAACGTTTCATATAAATCCTTCCTTTTTCTAGGACAAATCTGTTGCCTTTAAGATTTTTGAGCTTGGGCTTAAGAAATACGGAGATATTCCAGAATATGTCCTGGCTTATATTGACTATCTTTCTCACCTCAATGGTAAGTAATTCCAGATCTATAATGGTACTTAATATTAAACTGTATATGTCATTCTCTGAAATTATGTTGCTCTGAAATTATGTTTTATCCTTCTCCAATATGTTATAATTCTGCCATCACACTAGAATCAGGCACTTCATAGGCACTCAAGAAATATTTGTGGCTTCTCAACCATAAATTTGTATTTATTGAATAATGGTAGATGACTTTGGATTCTGCAGAATGGTCTTTAATGCTTCATCAATAAAATCCCCATTGGTAACAGAGTAAAGTTACAAATTCAGAGTTGGGAGACACAGAGTGTTTATGCTCATTGCTGTTGACTGCTGGCAGATCATCTCTTGTTTGCTTGTAGGAGAGTGGGGGAACAGACAAAATAATCTCCAGACATCAAGATGCCCAAGTAATAAAGTAAAATGCTTTGAGGCTAGAGAGTTCTTCTTTGGGAAGAGATTTCAAAAACAAACATTATATTGATTAACATCCTTATTTTTATTTCCTTATTCTGTTGTAATAATAATGGCCATTCTTTATTGAGTTCCTACTTTATAGGCCCTGAGTAGGGGATTCATATGTATATATCTCATTTAGCTAGTTTCTCAAAACCTAGGATATATACTTTCTTGGCTAAAAATGATCCAGTATAAAAATTTATTTCAGAAATATATGATTATGTGCTGTATAATTAGTTATAGAATTTGATATCATAGGTATATATAAGTGGTTTTAATGATATTTCAGAAAAATATAGCATTCTGTATACCTAAATAATAGAAAATAACACCTGAATATGATTTTGAATTTCAGCTTAGTGATTCTATACTCTGGAAGAGGACTTAACTAAAAATGAAACAGTAGAGCATTTAACTAAAAAGAAATTTTCTTGTATGAAATTAATGTTCCTCACCAATTTATTTTGCTTGAATTTTTAGAATAGTTGCTAGTATGTATAATAATTCCAAAAATGAGAATGATATCTCATGTCAGCATTATCTTCCCAAATTAGTGTCTTAGATAATTCATTCATTTGTTCATGCATCCATCCATCTAGCCATCATTTATTCAGTACCTTCTGGTTACTAGGGTCTGGAAGTACAAAGATGAATTAGACTCCATTGTTACCTAACCTTAGCATTCTTATGGAGGAATCAGATATGTAAACATAATTGATTCATCATTTGGTGCTTAATTGTAGCATGAGTTCAGGAGTTAGGTATGTAATCTTGTTTCAGATTTCTCATCTGCTGAATACTTTTCATTTTGTTGAGGATTGTTGAGAGGATTAAATGAGTTTTTGCATGTGTTTGACTTATGTGGACTGTGGTAAGCATACTATAAATAGTAACTATGATGATGGGCAATCATGAAAAAATGTGCTAAATACTATAATAGAGCCTTGAGTAAAGCACTGTAGAAGTACAGAAAGGAGAGTGGAATAAGTTCTAGAGCTGTGCTGTGCAGTTATGGTAGCCACTAGACTTCTAAGCATTCAGCACCTGAAATATGGCCAGCCCAAATGAGAGATGTGTAAGTATAAAATCAAACCAGATTTCAAAGAGTTATATGGAAAAAAAAATATACAACATCTTAATAAATTTTCATATTACATTAATTAATTATATTGGGTTAAAGAAAATATATTAAAACTAATTTTATCTGTTTTTACTCTCTGACAGAAAATTTAAATTATATAACTGGCTTGCATTATATTTTTATTAGACAGCATTGTTCTAAAGGGTATCATAGAGGAGACATGAGATGGGTCTTAAAGGATGAGTAATAGTTTAGCCAAGTAAAGATACAGGAAAATGTATTATTCCATGTACAAAACACAGCAGGTAACCAGCAGAGGGAAAGTTGTATAGAACAGTAAAAGGTGAGTCCAGAGCAAAATTTGGAATAAAGCAAAAAGTATAAAGTGTAAGATTTACTTACCACTTTTTAAAGTGCAGTATGTTACATTTAACATGAAAGCCATGAATATGGTGCCATCTTCTTTGGCACCATCTTCGATACATGTAGTCTCTTGGTTTTATTTTGTGTATGGACATATAATAAAACTGACTAACTATACTGAGACAATAAAAATGAATCACTGCTGGAGTTTTTAAAAATACATTATTGAGGTATAATTTATATATCATAAATGCACCCATTAAAAATGTATAATCAATGATGGTTAGTAATTTTACTGCTGGATTCTTAAATTTTAATAGCTCCCTTAAGAGCTTAGCAAGAAGTGTCATATTCCCACCTACAGCTACAGAGGACCTTGCAAAATGTTTTTTTTACTCAATTTTATACAAAATTTAAAGTAGTTATGTAGAGAGTAGTCATGGTGTTGCAAATTAAGAAAATAAACTATGTAGGTGAGGCTCAAGATGGCGGAGTAGGAAGGCAAGATGGAGACCTCGTCCTCCACACACACCATCGAAGCAACAATAGCAAATACAACTAAGCCTGAAAGCGACCTGAAGACTGCAGAACAGACCACCCACTCCTATGGAAGAAGAAAAGACCACACAGAAAAGGGTAAAGTGGCAAAGACAAAATCGAATGCGACGGGCTCTTGCCCCATCCCAACCCACAGGGAGGAGGAAGAAAAACAGAGTTGGGAGGGGTTAGGTGCCCAGGAACTCTGCACACCTAGCCCTGGAGATCTGCTCTGGGAACACAAGTCTACATTGCATTGGGTTCTGGTGATTAGCAGGACTGGACACCAGGGACAGTTGGAATGTTCTGGGAGGCTGAGACACCAGCTACCTATGGAGGACAGGAATGTTCTGCTGGTTCCACTGAGACCCAACATGGAGGGAGAGTTTGAAAGGCTTGCTGGCAGTGGTAGGTGAGACTAAGAGGCGAGGTTGGACAAAGCTATCTCTGCAGGAGAAAGGGCAGGTGGATGATACCTCCCCAACCCAACATGTTGGGTACTCTTGGGACCACCAGATGCTCCATCACCCTCACTGGTGGTTTAGCCCTGAGGCACTTTCTGCACACCAACAACACACCAACGCACTTTTCAAAGCAGCATTAGACTTTGCTGGCTGTCAGGCAGAGGGAGACTCTCCCAACTTTTATGGCCCTGTTTCAACCCAGCTAGAGAGGCACCTGCAAGGAGACAGTTTCAAGAGCTCCTTCCTCACCATGGGAAGCCAAGCCCAGTGCCACACACCTGGCTACAGCTAGGGGGCACCCGCCCCACTCACTTCAGCATCTGCGGTCCACTAGCTGCTTCCACGCACCAGCCTGGCCTCCCACCTACAGCTCACTACTGCTGCCCGCCCCTGCCCCCGACAGGCCCTCCTACTGTGATAGTACATACACCCTTTCACTGTACGACTACTGTCTCTGGACCTCCATGTACCGCCCAGCACATGACTCGAAGCAGCTACATACCTTGCTGTCACTGCTGGGTGCACCTTTCCACTGTGCAGCTCCTAGCCACTGCTGAGCACCCACTGACTTCACAACTGGGAGACTTGCAACTACCTTGAGCCCATGCACCTTGCCATTGTGCAACTCACTGTGAGACAGCCCCACCTATTCCATTAGCCCAGCAGCCATGCCATTGCTGCAGGGCAGGCTGAGGGCAGCCCTGCCCACAAATCTCAGCCAAAGTGCCACTGCTCTGGTCACAAAGGGCTGGCTGAGGCAAACTGCCAGCCTCAGCAGACTGAGATAAACCACTGCTGGAAAACAGAGAGAAAGGCAGCCGTGCCCACTGCCCATCAACTGGGCCTCCACAGCAAAGGAATACCAGGCATTGAAGAGGAAAGAGTCCTGAGATTCTGGGAATGGCTTTCTTCATAAAGTTTTTACTCTCTAGATCAGGAAGCATAGCAGATTCATGTAATCAAAAGGCAGAAACACAGAAACCCTAACAAAATGAGGCAGAGGAATATGTTCCAAACAAAACTGCAGGACAGGACACCATAAAGAGGGCTAAATGAAATGTAGACCACCAATCTTCTAGATGAAGATTTCAAAGTAACAGTCATAAATATGCTCACTGATCTGTGGAAAAGTATTGAAATTTTCAGGGAGGACTTCAACAAAGAGAACTGAAAGGAGGCCATTCAGAGCTCAAGAATACAGTAACTGAAATGAAACATACAGTGGAGGGGGTGAATTATGCTGCAAGTAGAGGAGATAACAAATGAGATGGAAATTAGAGAACAGGAAAACAATGAAGGTGAGGAACAGAAAGAAAGAAAAATCTCTAGAATCAAGAAGATTCTAAGAGAGCTATGTGACCAATTCAATCAAAACAATTCACATAATAGGGGTACTAGGAAAAGAGAGAGACAAAGGGATAGAAATTCTCTTTGAGGAAATGTTGAAAACTTACCCAACTTGGGGAAGGAAATAGACACTCAGGTCATGGAAGTACAGAGAGACCCTAACAAAAGGAACCCCAGGAAGGTAACACCAAGATACATAATAATTAAAATAGTAAAGATTAGGGATAAGGAGAGAGTATTGAAAGCAGCCAGAGAGAAAAAAAAGGTTCCCTTAAAGGGAAACCCCATCAGGCTATCAGCAGACTTCTCAGCAGAAACTTTACAGCCACAAGGGAGTGGCATGAAATACTTAATGTACTGAAACAGAAGGATCTTCAATCAAGAATCCTCTACCCAGAAAGATTATCATTCAAATTCAAAAGTAATACCCAACATTTCCTAGCTAAACAAAGGCTCAAGGAGTTTATAACCACTAAGGCAGCATTGTAGGATATGTTAAAGGCACTGCTGTAGATGGAAATGTTCCTAAGGCTAAATAGTTTACACCAGTGAAAATAAACCCACAGGAAAGGTAGTAGACTAATTGCTTATCGAGCAAGTATGAAATTAGAACTAACTATATACAAAGTCCGTCAAGGAATACATAAAAAGTGCAGATTATGACATCTAACGTAAAGTGTGTAGAAGGAAAAAAGAAGTATTTTTAGATTGTGTTTGAAATAGAGCAATAATCAATTTAATGTAGACAATTTATAT